GAATGAAAGGAGAATTTATGTCAATTATAAGGGCGAAGAAGAGGATAGACAGCACAACCAAAAACACGAAGAAAGGCATAATCAGGTGGCTGGTGATATAGTGTAGTGAAGGGTAGGTGACCGTGAAGAGGTTTACTAGAGTGGCGATTAATCAAAAACACAGCGGTTTCAAAAGCAAAATCCCAAAACCGAAAAGGAGTACTAGAATGGCCAAGGAGAGCAAGTCCAATGTCGACAATGTGACGAATTTTGCGTTCAGCAGTGCCATTCTGCTCATGAGTGTGTGGGCACGCTAAACGATGAATAATACCGACATCCTTAAAGAAAGAATTGAGAGAACGAAATTCACCACCCCAATCAGAGTTAACAATTTTAATGGTAGTGCCAAATTGATTTTCTAGAGAGCTTTGAATTGCTTGAAAACATGGAAAACATCACTTTTATACTTAATGGGATAAATCCATGTGAATAAAGAGAAGTCATCAATAAAAAGCACAAAGTAGCGATAACCATTGAATGACAAAATAGGAGCAGGGCCACAAACATCAGTGTGAATAAAATCAAGTGGTTTAGAGCTACGATGAAAAGTAGAAGGTAAACTAACCCTATGCAACTTCCCTAAACAACACGCCTTACATTTATCAGTGGACATGGACACAGAGGAATGAGGGAGTTGAAACTGCCTAACCAAAGTACGAAGAGTGACATTATTAGGGTGCCCTAAACGAGCATGCCATTGACCTAAAGAGACAAGATAAGCTGCTGGAGACAAGGAACCACGAGCAGGAAGATCTAAGTGATAGACCAACAAGAGTCAGAATAAAATTCAAAGAAACAGTGATTATCACAGGTAAATTTTTGAACAGATAACAAAGACTTAGTAAGAGAGGGAGCATGCAAGACATGATTTAAATAAAGAGGACGAGAAAACGATGGCAAAACAGATTGACCAACGTGCTGAATAGGTAAAGCATCTCCATTACCAACTAAAATATGATCCGTACCATTATAATCATTGGAGATACTGAGAGGACAAATCTGGCGTGACATGATCGGTAGCACCAGTGTCCGGATGCCAGGGAGTGACAGAAGGGGCATACTGCGCCATATAGGCTTGAGAAGACATAGTCGACTCCGGGTAAGACGGAAGAGGCAACAAACCAGCCGAATGCGGTGCAGGAGAAACTGCCTGGGCATAAGCAGCCGACCGAATGGCAGGGGGTCGAGGAACAAAATTAGCATCAAAACAGCATCGACAAGTGGCGGCCGTGTGATTCAAGATGCCGCAAATCTGACACGTCTCACCTGGGGCGGGAGGGGTGTACCCATGCCGACCACCACCACGGCCAAAAACTTGATTGCGCCGGCTGCCGCGTTGCGAGTGACTGGCACGAGAGGATTGAGGCAGCATAGGAGAAGGTGGCGACTGCACAAGCATGGCCGTCGGCCTAAGGACCGGCTGTTGGGCGTGAAGAAGCACCTCATACGAAACTAACTGTCCAAGGAGATCTTGATAGGAGGGGGGTTCGGATCGCTGCTGCAAAGCTCCGATGATGCCATTGAATTTGGCACCAAGCTTGCGGAAGATCATGGCATTGAACTCCGCGGGAGATATGCGATGGATAGAAGATGTAGAAAGTGTTTAAGGTTAGCAACCCAATCGGTCACCTCTCTAACAACCCTATCCCTTCAATTTATGGATAGAACGGCTACCGAAAAGGCTCCAATGAACAACTAACAAAGCTCCACAAATAGAAAAACACATATTCTACTCGCATGCATCAACAAAGCACAAGCTTGTGTGCAATGCACTAATCTTTAAAAAGAGTAGAAAAAGAACAAAGAGTTTCCTCTCGTTTTATATTGAAATTATTCATCAAAGGTACAAATAAAAGGCTGGCCAAACACCCCTATTTATAGTAGGAAAAGAGTTTGATCTCTAACTCTATTCCTACTTTAAAGAACTAGAAATCAACTTAACCTCTAATTGACAACTTGTGTCTTATCTATTAAGGCAATGTATCTAGACACCTTTATAGACTTAAGACACACTAGTCTAATGAAAATAAAACTCTAAATACAAAGAGATATTCTCTCAAAAGAATCTTATCCTTATCTTGAAAAGAATCTTCCTGAGTTGTCAACTCTATCAATATCTTCTTTGTAGAGTCATCCAATCTTGATCTAATCTCCATCCAACGCTTGAGAGTAGACACCAAGGAATAGACTTCTTATTTTGAATAAACTCTAAATTAGATAAAAGAGAATCATATCAAATCTTATCCTTCCACGTGATAAGATTTAAATGATCTTATCTCTAAAAGATATGGAATCTTCCAAATCTTATCCTTCCGCAAGTGTGATAAGATTTAAATAATTTTATCCCTAAAAGATAGAGATTCCAACTCCTAAAAATTAGGAGATAGGGCTGGCCCCCCTTGCTTGGTTTGTGGGCTGAAATATCCTTCCTCAAATGGGCCTTGTAACACATTAATTATCTTAGGCTTGTAACTTCCAGACTTGACATTCTTTTGGGCTAAACCATTTGATATAAGAATATTAAGTGCACTCTTCATTCTTTTACTTCTAGCTTGAGTCATTGGTCCTCCAATGTTGGATAATGGATCTTGAGTCACTCTTGAGCTTGGATAGTATTTGGAACCCGAACACCTTGATCATCTTGGACTTGATTACCATGGATGTTCACATCACCCATAATCGATTTTACCTCCCAAAAACCCAAACTCTGACGAGTTAACTTATGCTGCTTCCTTTGACAAAGTGGACTGTGACTGGGAGGGAGGAGGAATTAAGGGCTACTTAGAAATGGCGCCAAATGAGTTACCGTGTAACGGTGTAAAGTTGTAACAACCATTTGGGTATTTAGATTTATGCTCAAGCTTTGATAAAATTATTAATTGAGCCAAATAGTCTTATACTTACACACAAATTCACCTCAAAATGATTGTCCAAATTAGATTTTACTTTTATTACATCTTATAATGAAAATTTAAATATAAATTGAACAATCAGTTTAGGATGGAAAGTATAAAACATTCTAAAGAGAACCTTAATTTTCTTGACTTCAAAAGATAAACTTTCTTTTTCATGATTACTAAAATATTGCATAATTACAAATTTCTATCCTTACCGTTCAAAGTTGATTATTTAACCGAATACAATGAATATCTTATTCCAACATCGGATTGCTACTATAATTAAATAATAATAATGAACTTCAAACATAGTTTTTAAAAAACAAAGAGAAAATTTAGCTAAAGGGCAGTAGAACTTGTCAAATTAATAAAAGGAGTATTACTAAAAAATATTTCTGATGAAGGACGGTAATTTATTTGTCAAAATTTTCAAAATAAAAATATTTTGAATTGACAATGTCACCTTTATAATTTTTTTAAAAAATAATACTAAAAATATAAGAAAACCTAAATCACTTTTAATAGATTGAGATTGTTAACAGATCTCCCAACGCCGCAGAGTCTCTGTATCTTAGAACACCTAAAACCCACGAGCACGGGATAAAAAGAGTATTGGAGAAATGGAATCTATTCCAAAAGAACTTGAGAGTTTTTGATTTTTTTTTTCTGATATTCAAAGAACTCAAAATCTACGGTCGACCAAGGTGAACTTTCATCTTTTATTCGTGATTTGATGGCGACTTTTCTTTTTGTGAACCTTGGATTTGATGATCATTGTAAATTCTGAAAACGGTGGTAGGGGATGATTTCTAAATTCGATCATGCCAAAAAAATTGGAATTCTTATTTGATGATGACGATGATTTATTTTTTTGTGTTGCTTTTGATTTGACGATGATGATGATTTGATGTTCTGAATAGATGATTATGAACCCTATCCAACATGGGAAGCAGCCACTGCCTCATTCCTCAAACAAAGATGAGAAGAAAATACTCTGGCTATTGTTCATACCACCTAACCCAAATGGTAACCTACTAAGAAGAGTCAATTATATTTCTTTTAAAACAATACAGAGACTATCATCATTAGCTTAAGTAATGTGAAGATTGAAGAGGACCATTATCAAAACTGTGGCCACTCTTCAAGGACTGGCCGGTCCCTAACCAGGCCAATCCGCATCCCTTGACCGGTGAGAAATTTCGGGCCACTCTTCAAGGACTGGCCAGCCCCTGACCAGGCCAATCCGCGTCCCTTGACCGGTGAGAAATCCGGCCAAGGCCACTCTTCAAGGACTAGCCGGTCCCTGACTAGGCCAATCTGCGTTCCTTGGCTGGTGAGAAATCTCGCCTAGGTTCCCGGGCTGGCCACCGTTCGGGTCGGCCAGCCTGGACATTTTTCTTTATTTTTTAATTTTTTTTGTTGTAATTTTTTTATAATTATTATAGTTAAATTATTTATAATTAATATAATTAGTTTTTGAATGTTGTGTTATTAGTTGTAATTAATTTAATTAGATTTGTACTAATTTATAATGAAAGGGAGAAATTTAATTAGATTTGTAATTAATTTAATTAGATTATAATTAATTTAATTATATTCTATTAAAAATGTATAAATTTAATATGTATAATTAATTTAATTGAATTTGTTTTATTATATATTTAAATCTTTATTTTAATGGAATAGGTATATATAATATTTAATGTAGGTTAAATGGACAAATTAATTAGGTATGATTAATTTGAACGATTTTATTTTAATTTCTATTTGAATAATTATTGTAGTGGAATATTTATATATAATATTTAATGTAGGTTAAAAGGATAAATTAATTAGGTATACTTTATTTAATTGAATATATTTTAATTTCTATTTCGATTATTGTAGTGGAGTAGTTATATATATTCATTAATGTAGATTCAAAGGAGTTAAAAGAAAAGGCCAGATGTACATGATTCTTTATTGTTGCTTGAGTCGGGTACACGGGACATGCATGGTCGAGTTATTTCTGCCTCATATCGTCGTGAGAGTCCAACTGGGCATAAGTCAAAGGGTGAGTCGCAGATGGGTCAGGCCAGTAATAGTGTGGGACTTGACGATGTATTTGATCATGCCAGTTTGGACTTACAGAATGTGAGTGACAATGATGATGTTCCGACTGAAGATATCGACTCGGAAGGGTTTAATGATTTCGATGGTGACTCACCTCCACATTCACCTCCACATTCTCCTCCAGCTAGACGAATGTTATTCGTCTTAGGGTTAGAGGACTTGGAGCTGCATCTGTATCAGCATCTGCATCTGCAACTGCAACTGCAACTGCATCTGCATCTGTATCATCATCAGCGGGTAAGTAATTAGTGTATGGGTTTTATATTTTACATTTTAGTAGTTAAGGTTTTTCAAATATTTTATCAGAAAAAAATTCAATAATTTGTTTACGTTAATTTCAGCTAGTAATGCCCAGCCTTGGGTTGTCACGAGACCAATTGTTGGTGGCCCTCATGATAGTTCTGTTATTCCCAGTTTTCTTGGTCATGTGGCCCATCGCTTGACGGATAAGTTGTACAAACCCTCCTTGGAGATGGATACAAGAGTCACATACTTCAAGTTGTTGAAAGAATGGAAGGGTTCTATGTCGACTGAGGCTCACATCTTGTTGGCTGGTACAGGGTTATCCCACATCGTGGACATAATGCACACCAACATTGATAAGGCATTGATTACAGCATTTGTAGAGAGGTGGCAGCCGGACACCAACACGTTTCACATGTCTTTTGGGGAGATGAGCATCATGTCACACGATGTGCGACAGATATTGGGTATTCCCGTTGAAGGTAGATTGATTACAGCATAACATGGGACTGTCGATTGTAAGACTTTTGTGATGAAGGCGTTGAGAATGACTAGCCAGACGCTACAGACTAGTAAAGTAACCCATGGTGGAGGGGTTCAGTCGGGCCTTGTTGCGAAGACAGGCTGAGCGTCAGCGCTTGCTTTAGATCAGGTGACTGCCTGGTTATGGGTCATGTTAGGGTACACGTTGTTTTACCAACAGGAGTGGGACTCAGATTAGAGCGGCGATTCTCTCCGAGTTTATTGATGGCCTAGTCACCTGTGGCAATATTTCTTGGAGGTCTGCTACTCTAGCCTATCTCTACCGTCAGCTAGGCGTGTCCAGCAGATTGAAAAATGCCTCAATGTCTTGTTGCTACAAACTACTTCAGGCGTGGATATATGTGTACTTTCCATGTTTCAGACCACCTCGGGGCGGTCCCTTTGAGGCTCCTGACCAACCCTGAGTTGGATGGTGGAATGTCCCAAATCCTGATAACAGTCCAGATCGTCTGATGCACCTTCGCAGCCAGATCGACAAGCTGACTCCCGATCAAGTACGTCACTTTTTGCACTTTTAATTAATAATAGTTATGCAAAATAATGTTATTAACGTATCTTATATCTTTTGTGTAGGTTGAATGGTTGCCTTATGGCCCCGATCCTGTTTCTGATTATCCGAGGACCATGTACAGTGGTTGGATACAGTATCGAGATATTATTGAGCCACACTTGCCTAGTCGAGTATTGCGCCAGATTGGATACATCTATGTCATCCCTCTACCCATTCCTCATCCCCAGAGTCCAAATTGTAGTGGTAATCACCGCGCCTACAAAATTTCATGGAGGCCCACTGAGGCGTTTGATGCTTGGATGCAATTCCCATTCAGTACCGGGGTGGATCTAGAGTATTTTGAGCGGAGTGATCATGATAAGACTGCATGCGCTCCTGATTACCTCAAGTGGTACTTGAAATATTTGCATCCTTTCTTGGTTTTAGATGCCACTACTATAGGTGGAGTTAGAACCACATCTCACGTAAGTCTTTATTGCATAACCATTTCTTGAAATGTTTATGCAATATATTATTAACTATGTTTTTTTTTTTTGCAGTGGGTCAACCGATTGTCTGAACCTCATAGAAATGCACTTGAGACAATCCGTGAAATTGATGCAGAGAGAGTAAAGGAGCATGAGACATTGTTTGCTCAATTTCAGGATGAATTCCGATTGAGCCAGAGAGATTGATGTGTATTTTATTAGGATGTTATGTGTTACTTCTTAGATTTCTTCCCAATTTCAGAATGTTATGTTATGTGTTACTTCTTAGATTTCTTCCCAATTTCAGAATGTTATGTTATGTGTTTTAATTTTGACAAAATTTGCAATGGAACATATGAAATTTAAAGAACTAGTTTTAACAATTTAAATAAATGTTATGCAATTACTAACTAGATCTAGATAGTCTATTCTACTCTGCTATCCAAGAGTGGTACTCATCTTCCCAGCCTACAACTTTGTTGTCATACCACCTAAACCAATAAGGATGTACAGGAGGTACAGGAAAATCACTACCGAAATCAACACAAATGTAATGATCTACACAGCCGAGGTGAACAAGCACAATCTCACGAGTTGTCTTCCGGCGTTTCCACGATCAGTAAAGGGAAACACTGTCAAACAGTAAAAATCCATATCCTCGTCTAATGTATTCCCGAGACCGTACAAAAAAACTGCAGCATTCCAGATAGTAGCAATCACGTACAAGTCTTGTGTGCATTCCATATAATGGGGCGGAAGGCATTCACCTACCAGTCACCTTAACGTCGTATGTTTTGTTCCCTTTTGTAGTAATACGGAGGATCATGTAAATCCGGCCATTTAATAAGATCTTGAATAATGGTTGTCCGGACCAATAGCCAATCCTCTTCTGAATTTCGAACATACTCTGCCACACATCGGAACCCATAGTTACCATCTCCCCTCACGTCAAGGTATACCCGAATGAAGGGAACCATAAAAGACGGAATAGATTGCCGAAACTGATATGAATAAAAATCCATCCTCCAACCTCTTTGCTCACCTAAAAACAATAATATTCACGTTATGTACATTGCCGAAACAAAATGTTTAAAAATAAAATGTGACATCAAAAAAATAAATAAATTCAAAACATTCTTACGACTATCATTGTATGTAGGCAAGGATGTGCTTATGCGAGATCTCTCTGAACCAACAGTATACTCCTTCCAATAACACCGTTTCCGCGGGATATTCGCTTTCGAGAGCCCTTTAACACTTGTCTTCACTGCAGGTTCCTCGAAACTCATCTGATCATAATGTTGCTCCTGTTCCTCGAAACTCATATGCTCATGGTGTTTCTCTTCTTCCAGCTCATGGTGCAGAAACTCATTGACGCGGCTCAAAAATTCAGGCCTCTTGTTGAATGCCTTAAGGGAAAGCTCTGTAAAAATCGTATACTCCTCTGACACAAAAGGTTGAGCATCATCACTTGGGGACGAATCAGGTGTCGCACTTGTAAAATTAAGTCTGCTCCAAAAAGGGTGGAGGTTGGCAACTGTAATGGGCACATGCAACTCCCTTTTCTATTTAAGCTCACATGCACAGGGGATTTCATGGGTTGTTCTCAACACACAACCACAAACATCATCCTTACCCAATTGCTGCATGCGAATATACTCACTTTGAAGAATGTCCAAACAGTAATGTGAGACACGTCTAGCTAGATGGTCATAGGGAAATTGAAGGTGCTCTCTCCTCGAACGGCGTTCTGATTTGGTTAGACGGAACCTACATTTTAAATTCCTCACTATTAATATAAGAACATTGGTAATTAAGTATTAAAAATAAAATTAAACAACGAACGAATTACGTACTTGATCTCAGTTAATTGATACTCGGTCGCTACGTGGATTCTGGTCCATATTGTAACTAGGTGACTGGTCGCCAAGTCAAGAAACCTCTGTATGGAACTATGGGCGCTCTCCACCCTACAATTACTTGTGTCTCCAAGATGTGTGACCCCATTTGTCCACACATGAGCCCACTTCTCCTTGTGAACTAGCCAAGTGGTCTTCACATAATGCACCAACTCTCCATAACTTTTCGCATTTGGGTGCCTGTAGTACGACATATTAATCACAGCCATTTCATGAAGGTACTCAATAGGAGCTTCAAGTATCGGATCGAACATCTCCTTCTTCCACCAGCTCGCAAATTTCGTTCCAAAATGCTGCCGTGGGTTTTCAAAAACACATTTGTTAATGTGCCACACGCATAGAAGATGTGCAGAATCTGGAAATATCAAACTGATTGGTTCTGCCAGCTCTAACTCCCTATCTGTCACTATGGCATACGGGTGCACCTCCCATCCAATCATATCCTGAAACTGCTGACATGCCCAAGTATAACTCTCCTTCTTCTCATCCTTCATAATTACATATCCAATCAGAAAATTCTTGTTGGTTGGAGTCATCTCAATAATTTGTAACAGCAGCATATTATACTTGTTTGTTCTATAAGTAGTACCCATGCCAATATACTACGGGTATGCTCGGATCAACTCTACAGATACTGGATGTGCACAGAAAATATGACTCAACACACCTTTTTCATTAGCCGTAGTAATCACATACTTGTGTTGCTGAGTAATGTCAAGAAGTGATCCACCAACGTTTTATTCTTCCTTTTTTCCACCTGAATCCTACTCTTGTAGCTGTATATCTGTTTGATCACAACGTGCTCGTCCGGGCATATCTGCTGAATCACCCGCAACATTACAGACGGTTTTACATTAATGGCAGTCAACTCGTCAACAATCGCCTTCGATTTATCGTTAGGCCACTCATCTGCATCTGTCCCTCCTCGAAACTGCCAAACGGGTGGTTATGCGTACCATTACGATCGGGACATGAACGAATCCCAAAAGTAGATTCGCCTGGGCGAATTTGGGCTAGAAGCCGGAACGGGCATCCACAATAATGCGCCTTTGTTTCTCGCACCTGATTCTCTGTATCTCTAGGGGGAACACCCTTTGGACTAATAATTTCTTAGTCTCATCTATCTTCGATGCCTTAATATACACTATGAAATTAAGAGATATCGCAGTCTTTTTCGCCCATAACACAGCGGCTTCAATAGTTGCAAATCTTATGCTAGTATCGAAATGATGACTGTAATCAACACCGTCACCGCCAAAATCCTGTAAATGAAATATATCAAATTTAAAAAACATACAATATACATAACAAAATAACTAATTCATTTACGTAAACAATAATTAATTATTAAAGCCTAAAAATTAATACTAACTAAATACCACATACAAATATAAATTTAATTAAATTAAATAAATATGTACCACATACCTAATATACATTAATTATTAAATTAAACAAATTATACCTAATAAATTAAATTAAACTTGTTATTAAAGCACAAAAAAAAATTAAATGACCTATAAAAAATAATAACACAACATTCAACAACTAATTACATTAATTATATATAAATTTAACTAAATTAATCAAATAATAATACAACAACTAATTACATTAATTATAAATAAATTTAACTAAATTAATTATAACAACAAATTTACA